AGCTGTCAGAACACCAGCAGAGCCTGATCTCAACCTGCCTCACATCTGAAGTGACCACAAGATTCTTGAATAAATAAAATGCGTACCTGCAGCGTTAAGCTCTCTGGCCAGTTGACTATTTGCAAATTGAAAATCTGTCCGAAGTGGACACGGAAGTCGGCCCCCAGTGGCCGAGTGACCGTCCTGGACACCTCCTTGTTGTTGAACAACACCTTCAAGTGCACGGAGCGTCTCTTCACATCCTCCCGTCTCAGGACCTCCACCCTGCAACGACAGACAGGCAGCGTGACTAGAACGGGCTTCCTAAAGATACCTGGAATCTTGGCAGCTGGGTTGGGTCTGTGACCCTCTAGCACACGTATGTTGTTGTGTGCTGCTGAGTTGGAACCGACCCACAGTTGACCTTCCAGGGGGTTTTCAGAGACAGCCACTCGAGAGGAGACTGCCCATCCTCCTTCTGAAGCGCAACTGGTGGATTCAAACCGTGTGCCTTTGGGATTGCCGCACAGTTTCTTGCCGCTAGGCCACGAAAGTTCCCACTACTTGTTTCTCAGTTTGTCATACTGTATTGTGTGTTGCTGTCATCCTTGAAGCTACGGTATCTCAAGTATTAGGAGATTCTCTCATGGTAGATAGGTTTCTGCAGAGCGTCCAGACGAAGACGGGCTAAGAAGCAGGACTGGCTGTTCATTTCTGAAAAACTAGGCCCCAGAGAACTCTGTGGGCAATGGAAGAGCATTGCTGCATATAGTGCTGGAAGACGAAGCCCTTAGGAAGAAAGGCACTCAAAATGTGACTGACTCCTCAAAGCAGAGTCTGCCTGAATGAGCAGGAGAGAGTAAATCTCACACTCTACAAAGGACCTGCATGTGCTGATGCAGCCAACCAGGCTCAGAATGAGGAGAATCAGCTGCAAACGTCCATCGAGCATGAGACCACGGAATATATGTAGCATGAAATCAGGAAAATTAAAAGTAGTTAAAAAAAGAAATGAAACACATAAAGATCAACATCTTACGCAATAGTATTAGTAGTAGTATTTATAGTAGTATTTGCCATTTTGATTCAGACAATCAGGAGCTACTATTCTAGGAATAACAAAATGAAGAGGAATGTAGAATGGGACTGTCCTTGGGGTTGGGGAGAGACTGAGTAAGATGGGTTCAATAATGTATACTGCACTGAAACAGAGGAGGGAGAAAACTGTTTAAAA